GCAGCCCAGAGTACGGTTGGCCTTCTGGGCTGCCAGCGCACATTGCCGGCTCATGTCCAGCTTTTCATCCACCAGCAGTAATGGTACCTAGCAATCTCTTCACAGCTGCCTTTTTGTCAGATTGAGGAAGTGGTAGGAAGCGCTTAAATTAATACTAGTGAGATTACTATTGTAGTCTCCATTTTCTTCATATTGTATTTTGTCACCTTAGTGTTCATAGTGGAAATCTTTTCTGAATGAATGAGTTCTAATCTTAGGAGGCTGAAGTGGAAGCATGAACTGAGATAAGATGAATAGCTTTGGAATTTCATAAGCCATTCTCACTTCTGTCCAAGGCAAGTAGGGATGCCACAGTTTTTCTGGTTTTTATCAGTTAAGTCTCTCTTATCATAACCATCGTTCAGAGGCTGGCAGAACTGAGACCAGAAGCTCAGTGGGTTGTTGACTTGATGATGATTGCTAAATCAATACCTGTGTTAACTGGCATCAGGTAGTACAAGTCTTTTCTCCTGCTGTAGAATAGGAAGTGATTTGTATGTTGTGCCATATGCCTTGACTCTCTGAAGATCTGCTGGAGAAGTCACGTGCAATTCGTCAAGCCAAAGAGGAGAGAACCTTCCACATCTTTTACTACCTGCTGTCTGGGGCAGGCGAGCATTTGAAGAGTAAGTATGATTTTGTTGCAGTGATGAGGTTTCCTCGTCACAACAGCAGAGGGTCCAAAACACCTGTAGGCTAGGACCTGTTCCTTCATAGTTTCTTGGCTATGCCTTTTAGATATGGTCGCTCCCCACACACTTCTTCCATACACTCATACATCCCTCTGCCCTCCCCCTGCACTTCTCAGTTCCTGAAAACTTGCTTCTCTGGTTCCTTCCTGCACTTGTCTCCTTGCCAGCAGTGACTGTACGCCCTTCCTTATCTAAATCATTGTCCCATGTTTAGTCTCATCTTGCATGATGTAAACCCTTCTTAATGCAGGAACGGTCCTGCTGTGATGTGCTTGGCGTTTAACTGAATGGAACAAAGCTGCTGCTACCTAAGCAGGTCTAGAAGTCTAGGATCCTAGTGCACCTAGCTCAGCCTGGTGGTGATCAAGGTCCATGTTGTGCAAAAGCTGCAAACTGATCTGGAGGAAGGACAGAAGGACTTCTCTCATAGTTGCTGCTGTTTCAAGAGCTATATATTAACTTTCACCTGACTTGAAACAAATGAGGTGTCTGAAATTAAAGGCAAATCTACTTTCAAGTTAATCCCTGCTTCTTATAGACTTAGGACATAATGATGATTGACACTACTGTGGTGGAGTATTCCAGAGGAGGGAATAGAAAGAAATAAGGCAGAAAAAATCGAGTTTTATCTAAAATACATTAAATGTTCAGCCTGTGGTAAAACTGGGCTTAATCCCAGAATCATCCAGCACCTGCTAGCATATGCAAGTCAGAAATTTGATCTCAGTGGTAGCTTGTTGTCTATTTAAAAAAAAAAAAGCCATAGTAACTTCTTTCTCAATTCTTTCCTAAGCTGATCTGCTGCTGGAGCCTTACAACAAATATCGCTTCCTTTCCAATGGGCATGTTACGATCCCGGGTCAGCAAGACAAAGACATGTTTCAGGAGACCATGGAGGCAATGAAGATCATGGGCATCCCGGATGAGGAGCAGATAGGTATAAATCCTCTGAAGGGCTTGAAAATGCAAGGAAATGAAAGAGGGAACAGATCATATCTCTACAGAGCTTTTTTTATTCTGGGGTTCTTTTTTTGTTTAACTACCTTGGTTTTTTTGTTGATTTTTGTTTTGTCTGGTGTCCATCACCACACCCCCACACCACACCCCCTGCCCCGAAGTGAACAGTACGCAAGCAATAAATTTAATGGTTTTGGAGTGACCTACCTCAGGATCTACCAGCACAGTTTCAATTTATACAGTTAAGGTTAGAAGTCAAGCAGCTAATGAAAACATGCTTCCTGTTTTTGTTCCCAATCTGAGCGCTGTATATCCAGTTTATGCATAATACATCCAAGATACAAGAATCCCCTTATTCTTCTGTGCAGTGCACGGCTTGTGTGCTCCCCCTATCCCTCAGCAGTGGCTTTAAAGTATTTAATCCAACCGTTGCTGGATTAGTACTTTTGAGAATGGTCTGGTCATAGTGCCTTTCTTTCCAGCTTAACACTGAAATGCTGATCAGAAATTAATATTGTCTGATTCTGGGAGCACAGTACCATGACAGTGAAGCTGGAATTGAATGCAGCCAGCACAAAGTGCAGTGATACATATTCGCCAGAGCTCTGTGCTGTCACATTCATGATCTGCCACACTGGTTGGAAACCAGCGTTCTACAAAATCTCAGTTTCTAAATGTATAAGATCTTCTAAAACTAGGACTGTTTTTTCTCTACACTGAAGCAAGCATCTGTGGTGGTTTGAGGTCACCACCTCCTCTGCTGGAGGCTGCAGCTCTTGTGGCTGTAGGGAATATGTTCCTGTGCCTTAATAGCAGTGTGGATTTATTGCTGGCTGGACTGCGGAAGAACAGTTATCTGCAGTTTAATACACTTCTTAATATCCTGAATCATCCGAGACTGAAACTGCTGTATTGAGGTGAAGCAAAATTTGCCTAAATTGAATAAAATAATTGGCAGCCTCATTTATTGTCAGGATGTCCTGCTATGCTCAGTTTTTGAGTTGGGTTTTTAATGTATGCTCTAGGGCATGTCTTTGCTGTCACACAGATGAACTATTGGTTCCAGCCACTACAGCAGACAGCTTTAATGTTTTACACTTCCTGCTCAAAGTGTGAAGTGCATTAATGTTCCTTATAGACATAGAAGAATAATATATACAGTAGCTGGCTGGATGGTAGGCTTGCTTCGTTTTGATGTAAAGTCTAAACACTATCTTTGTTTATGAGACAACATCGAAATAAGTTGTCTGTCCAAGTGCCAGGACTCCAGATTCAGCTGTCAAACTGCTGGATTTCATAACGTGCCACTAGGAACATATGTGTTTCTTTTCTGTTAGTCCTGATACAGCATATATGGAGCCTTTGTTCTCTCTGCTGTTAAAAGGATGTTGTTTTAAAACAAATGTTTCTTTAACAGATAGAAATTAGGGGCTGAAAAATTCTTTGGTACAAGATTCCCTTTGCAAGTGACTGGCAGTTTACTTTGCTTAAGGCAACTGGAAGCTATTATGCAATGCGCTTTGATTGATATGCAGTGAAAATTGAATTGATGCTATGGCATTGAAAAATGTCTTTCCTATGCTAGCATCTGATGCTGTTTTTGTGATGTGCACCATTTGAAGAGTGTGAATATATCATTAGCGGTGGGTGGGGTGCTTCAGCATGTAATAGTTACAGTACAGGCACTTTCATCCACATCCTGCTGCCCTTCATACATTATTACATATGTCTGTATGGACTATGGACCTTGGTCAGGGAGCTGAAAGTGATACGGGGTTGAGGGAATAAAATCTTCCTTCTCTTAGTTGGTTTGTACTCTTAATAACTGTCTCTTCCCTCTGTTTAACAGTAGTCATTGAGGAAAATAGTGAATTTTGGCCCTCTAACAGAGAACAGACTTTTTATCAAAAAATACAGATGATGCAGAGTGGCGCATTACCCTCAATCCTGTCTCCCACTTCACTATAGTGATGTTGAGAATGGGTAAATTTCTGGGCTGCATAGTCTTGCATAGGAGGGACAGGGAAAGTCCTGTGTCCTGAATGGGAGTCATACGGAGGAATTACCTGTGGTGTTTTTTCCTGAATTCCACAAAGATCTTTGGGATGTTGAGAAGGGCACTTTAACCATATCAGAAAAGATAACTGGGTCATATCAGGGCTTCTGGAGATGTCTGACACTAAGCTATTATTATTACTTTTAAAAGGTCTGCTGAAGGTTATCTCAGGTGTTCTTCAACTTGGCAACATAGTCTTCAAGAAGGAGCGTAATACAGACCAAGCCTCTATGCCAGACAATACAGGTAACCAATCTCCTTTTCCCACCCCAAAGAAAAATGCAGAAAAAAGCCTGCAGGAAGTTCTTGCAAGTAGAATAATACATTGCAGTAGTAGGGAATGCTGGAGTCCTTTTTCCTATAAGATGAGTTATTTGACAAAGGAGCTGACATGCTCCTTCACACAAATATGTGCTGTTTTGCCAGGCGTGGGTTTGCAGCCACCCATGGGCAGGAATGTGGCACTGTTCTTGTGACAGGGCTAGGCAGGAAGTACATGTGATGACCAGATGAAAAGGGTTACTCTACTGGAGTATGCAGCATGTGTGTTAACCAAGCTAAGAATGATTGCTCCTACAAATCTATATTATTGGACTTTAAGGAATGTTCTTTGCTGACTTTGTAGATAGACTTGTAACTGTAAGAGTAAGGTGGACAGTTTTGTGGTGGGTATAAAGTATGTGTACATATTTTAATTGCACTGCCCATTGTTGCATGTGTAAAGTACCATGTTTCACATGATAAAAGGCTATCTGTTGGAAGGCTTAGCTCGTAGACCTTAACTATATATGTACTGCAGAAATATAAGAGGTTGCTAATTTATCTTAAAGTATTTATATTTTTGGCTATTACAGAAAATATGCTCTAAATGGCATTTTGGGGAGGAGAGTAAACGGTTTGGGTTTTGGATCTTGAATCTGAGATACAGAGTTACCTCAAAGACTAATTAGTAGACGAAGACAGAACAATTAGTTTGATTAAGAAATACATTACTTGATGTATCTTTAAATTGATTACAGGCTATGAACTTTCTAAAGGTTCTGTGTTATGACTTAGTGGTGTGAGAGTATTGCTTCAAATTTACCTTCATGGCTTCTGGAGAAACTCAATAACCTGTAGTATGGGTTGCAAGAGTTTTTTGAGGGATTTTTTTGGCTTTGGAGATACCTTTCTTTGTCTCATTAACCTGTTCTTCATTTAACGTTTTTTACAAGCTGTTTCATGAATCTCTGGGGAAGGCAATTGCAGGGGTGTTTTTTTCTTGCTTTCTGTGAGAAAACAAAAAAACATTAATATCTTTGTTGTTTCCTCTTACCATCTTTAGCTGCTCAGAAAGTGTCTCACCTCTTGGGTATCAATGTGACTGATTTCACTAGAGGTATCCTGACTCCTCGCATCAAGGTTGGGCGAGATTATGTCCAGAAAGCTCAGACCAAAGAGCAGGTATGCATTCTCTAAAAATGAACAAGCACTTTAGTCTTTAATCTTTAAGCTAACAAATGTATTAGAGGTTTCTGTAGTATTTAATAACCATCTCTATGGCTGTAACGTATAGCAACCACACTTGAATAATGTAGCATGCATATTGCTTCTAGTATTTGCTCACTGATCTGTACAAAGATAGATAGAAATTACCCTGCTCCTGTAGTACTTTTTCTCATCGAGGTGGGGGGGAAGAGAGAACACAACTCCCCTAATTTTGGTGACTGGCTGTCCCAAGGGAGTGAATTCCTTCAGGGCTGTATGCAAGGATGACGTTTTCAAGTTGCTGTAATATAGAAAGCACAGGTTTTCAGTAGGTCAGCTACTAGGGTGGGAAGGATTTGCTGCTCACCATTGAAACTGATTGTAAATTTTGTAACACTCTTCAATCAGGTTGTGCTTTGAATGAAACCTGACCTAGGAGCTAGCAGCCTCCTGAATGGAGCTAAGCCCCCATGCTTACTCACTGCATGGCTTCTTTATGAAGACATCCTTATTCTCAGTGTAAATAAACGTGCTCCCATAACATGGAAGGGATGGGGAAGAGAGCGAAGTCCAGAAATAGTCAACAAGCTGCTGCTTTTCCATTTTGATACTTAATTTCTTACGATACATAGTATTTTTGTATCAATCACAGGTCGGGTAGTGTCATGGGAGAAGGGCATTGGGCTTCACAAATTACAGAAGAATTTAAATGCTTTTCTTTGGGTCTACGAAACACATTATCTTTCTTTGAAGGTGGCTGGGCGTAATTTTCCTTTCTTGAATACCAGGTGTTGGTTTCTCCAACAGGCAGGATCCTGAAATTTGGCTTTAAGACACTAATTTAGTAAGACAAATTCTTTGCTCTTTTATGGAGTATCACTGTGCCATCCACTTTTCATTGGGAGTAACCTCTGAAATGGGCCTTGTTCAGTAAGTTTGGTGGTGGAGAGAAAATCTCAGACTACAGTTGGGCCATTAGATGCCAAAACAGTGTAATCTGTGCCTTCCTTTGGATTATAATGTAACTCCTGATCTCTGTCTTTTTTTTCTATTTAGGCTGACTTTGCCATTGAAGCGCTGGCTAAAGCCACTTACGAACGTATGTTCCGGTGGCTGGTTATGCGTATCAACAAGGCATTGGATAAGACCAAGCGACAGGGTGCGTCCTTCATTGGAATCCTTGACATTGCTGGCTTTGAGATTTTTGAGGTAAGGAGATGTCAGGTCCTTGCATTCAGCACAGTTTACCAGGGAGCAAAGACCACTGAAGGAAATAACTTTAAAACTGGAAAAGAATAATACAGTTTTGGAAAGAATGTGTATTCCACTTTTATTATTTGAGATCCCTGCTGATGTGAACTGTCAGAGAATTTAGTAACTAATATAAGTGGTTCATTCTTTAGTATTTTATGTATTCTGCAAATGTTTATCTCATTGCTGTATATTCTGGTGCTTATGTCCTTTTTTGCATGTATATTAGAATTATTTTAATTTCAAAGTTCCAGGTGTTCCTGATTCTTTATAGCTCACAGCTTAAGAGTTGCTAACTTACAGAAAAGTCTTCTAAAATGTCATGTAGAATTATGGATCAGCACTGGACCTAAAATTTTATGTCTCGTGAGTCCATCCCAAAACATTTAAAGGATGAACCATGGAAACCTATTAGCATCA